CCCGAGTTGTTCTCTTATATTGAGCTGACCGAATGGATGACGCGTGATATTTTTCCCCAGTCGACGCCGCCGCTCTGCCGCTCGCCGCTGCTGCCCCTCCCTCCGCTTTGCTGCCGAACGCGTTTGTTGTGTTTAAGACTGCATTTATCAAAGTGTTCCAAATAATGAACACACTCGCTCGTCAAACGGCACGCCGCCGCCACCCTATACCCTCCTCCTCCTTCCCTACCCCTGCGGAAAAAATTGACGCGTTCCAAATGACGGCGCCCTTTGGTCCTCCCCCCCCCTCTCTCTCTCTCTCTCTCTCTCTCTCTCTCTCTCTCTCTCTCTCTCTCTTCGCCCCCCTCTCTCTCCCTCTCTCACTCCCCTCAGCAGCCTGCTGCTGGACATCATAAATTGGCCGGTTTTCAGCGTCCCTACCCCCGTCGGCCTGGCCTGGCCTCTGGCCGGGGTGCGCCGGTCTGCCGCCGGGCTCCCCGCCCCGCCCCGGCTCGCCCGCACCCCGCATAAGTCACCCCGGACCCCGTGTAAGTCGGGCGGGAGCGCTGCTACTTACCCATATGATCCGACACCGTTACCCCTTGCACGACCTCGCCCCGCCCCACCCCTGCTAGATGACCATACCCCGTCCTGCCAATATTATTCCCTCCTGCTTCTCTTTCTTCTCCCCCTGCTGCCCAGTTTAGTTCCCTCCCTCCAACCCCAGCAGCAGAGGAGAGGGTCCAGTCGCCTATAGCAGCCTAGCCTGCGACACCACGAGGTATTACCTTCACTCACAGAAATGTTCTCCACGCACAAGTGTATTGTTAATTTTACTGAAAGACTATTTTATGCTTCACATTTATTGTGTATGGAAAACACCGTGTAATCAGAAAATTTTCTTGTTCTTGTTATTTTCATTTTTGCTACTGCAGTCTGCAGTAGTTTCATTTTATTACGTATCTTGATTCAAGTGGATTCGACAATTGCACAGTAGTAGAGAGAGCTTTGGTTTTGGTGTTGCCTTTGCCGGCCTTTTCCGGAGATTCATATAATGTGTTTCTTCCTTTTAAGCCGAGTCAAGCAGTTCGAAATTACATGACAGATCAGCAGTGAGAATCTCGATCTGAATAAGGCGAAGGCTCAGAGGGGGTATGTGGTAGGGGGGGGGGCAGAGGGGGCTCTATCATCACAAACATAATACGTCTGGCTCGGCAAAACCCGATCTGCGCCGCTGTCTGGCGGTCCAAAACACACACTGCTGTGATGAGGAATGCGGCGTATGGACGTTAGCGGGCATGGCCTGGGCCCGAGGGTCAGGATGGACGTTAGCGGGCATGCGGTACCTGGACGGTTGGTTTGGGGTATCGGCGGAGGGCTAATCCCAGCGCGGACCGCCAAAGTGTGTCGTTTGCGGACATGTCGCGGCGAGCGGCGGCCTACCTAGGGATCTTAAGGCGCTACTACACCCGGGCTGAGGGCAAAGACGACCGGTTGGTCAGGTTCAGCACTTGAACTAAACAACGTGTCGACAGCTAGTACTGTCTGACGCGGAGGAACGAGATCGGGCAATAGACACTTTCTCGCGGGCAAATCGTTGTTTGCGGCAGTTTTCAATTCCTGAAATCAGGTGGGTCGTCGCTCCATGCCAAAGCGTTGCGCGGAGCGATAGCGAAGCGCAACGCTGCACTGATAATACCATTACTGATCTTCTGTATTAAGTTAGGTTCGCTAGTTTTGGTTGGATTTTTATTGTTTCTAAGAGACACATAGCTGCGCAGATGATTATCTAAGAATATCTCTACGTACTGATTTTCAGTATTGAGTTAGGTTTGCTAGTTTTGGTTTGCTTCTTATTTTAAGAGGGACCCGCCAGACCTGTACTTTCAATGTGCCTGAGGGTCCCTGGGTAGGCAACAAGCAGACAGCAGTCGGCGCCGCCCGCCGCGGCATGTCCGCCAACGACACACTGGGCGGCCCCCGCTGGGATTAGACGTCCACCGGGACCCCGAACCGGCCGTCCAGGTACCGCATGCCCGCTAACGTCCATCCTGACCCTCGGAGCCCAGGTCATGCCCGCTATCGACACAACGCCGAGGAATGCATTCCGGGAGAAATATTAAACTTACAAGGGGAAGGGAGGGCGGGGGTGTAATCCCCTCCAGAAAAGCCTTTGTCTGAGGGCGGCTGTGGGGGAGGGGAAGGGGGGAGTGGAGCGGAGGGATGAGCAGGGTGATGGAGAGGAGGAGGGCGTCGCCAAGACTGTTGAAGTTGGATTGACATAATAACGACGTTTCAGTGATGTGCGGGGTGAAGTGGCGCGGCGGAGGAGGAGCAGGTGATGAATTAAAAGAAAAAGGAGGCATGAAGTGGGGTGGATGAGTGGAGGTGGGAGGAGATATTGCGAAGCGGGGAGGGAGGGGGGTTATCGCGGGTATAGCGAGATGTTTGCCGGTGGGCAGGATAATCGGCTCCATTATAATGAAGTGACTAGGTGGGGGAGGTGAGGGTAGGTGGGAGTAGTCCGGAATTAAAGTGGCGCAAATGATGGGGTGTATGGATATTCAAGGCGATTCAAGGCGCTTGCCAAAGAGTTTACATTCAGCCAGTCCTCTTGCATTCTTTTAAAATAAAAACTGTTGACTTTTTTTTAACTAAGTAAAGGCAAAAAGAAAATAGCACACGCACCCCGCACGATGGGCTAAATGACGTCGTTGTATTAAAAAAAAAATTAAAGCGCGAAAGTCATCCCTCGCTGCCATGTCATGTTGCTATTATTTCAGTCCATTTCACTCGGCCGTGTGTGTGTGTGTGTGTGGCACATCATCAGACTGGCCGGCGCGGGGGAGCCGTGTGGAAAATGGATTTATTTCGGTCGATTATGAGAGAAATTTGCAATTCATCACCCCGTGCGGCTTTGGCGAGGGTCCGCGAGGGGTCCGCGTGGCTTAGCGCCCCCCCCCCCCCTTTAGGGACCGTACCGCGCGACCCTTCTGCTCGTGTGAGTT